CTATGGGACTCAATGAGGGAAGGGTACAGCTGTGGACGCCCGCATTTAAAAAAGAGTGATCCCCAGTGACGTGTCTCAAGGTCCTAAACGAAAGAACAATCCTCGGGCTGGGGATTTAGCTCAGTGGCACAGTGCCTGCCTGGCAAGCACAAGGTCATAAGTTCGATTTCTGGTACCAGAAAAAAAAAAAACAAAAAAAACAAAGAACAATCCAAATCCAAAACTAGTAGAGTAAAAGAAACATAAACATTGGAGTGGAAATTAATGAAATTAAAACTAAAACAACTATATAAAGGATCAATGCATTAGAGTTGGTTTTTTGAAAGGACAAACAAGATTGATTAAACCCTTAGCCAAACTTACCAAAAGAAGGAAAGAAAAAAGAACCCATATCAATGAAACTGGAAACAAAAAAGGTTAAATCAGGCCACCAAAACCCAGAGGATTGTGAAAAATTATTTGAATACTTATAGTCCAATAAATTGGAGAACCTAAAAGAAATGGAGAAATTCCTTGAATTACTAAAATTGAACCAAAAAGATATAAAAACTCTGAATAGACCAGTAATAGGCCATGCAATAAAAGCAGTTATAAAAACATTACCAACTAAAAAAAGCCTGGGACCTGATGAAGTCAATGGTGAATTCTTCTAGAACCTTAGGGAAGATCTAATGCCAATGCACCTCAAATTCTTCAGTGAAATTAAAAAGGAGATAGCACTGCCAAACTTACTCCTGGAAGCTAGCATTACCCTGATACCAAAAACATACAAGACTTAACGAAAAAAGGAAACAGGCCAATCTCCTTAATGAATACAGGTGCAACACCCTCAGCAAGATACTGCAATAAATCATTGAAAAGATCTTGGCCAGATGTGGTGGCACATGCTTGTAATTCCAGCACTTGGAAGGCTGAAGCAGGAAGATCACTGTGAGTTCGAGGCCAGCCCGGGCTACCAAGTGAATTCAAGGCCAGCTTGATCTGCATAGTGAAACCCTGTCTTAAAAAGGCAAAAACAAAAAAAGATTCTACCTCATGACCAAGATAGCTTCATTCCTGGGATTCAAGGATAGTTCCAAATATGTAAATCAATAAACATAAATACACCACAGGCCATACAGACAATACAGAGGCAAAGACAAAAATCACATCATCATCACAATAGATGCAGAAAAAGCCTTTCATAAAATCCAATATCTATTTTTGATAAAAATCATGATGAAAATAGGTACAGAAGGACTTTATCTCAAACTGATAATAGACATTTATGAAAAAGCCAACACCAATATCAAACTAATTGGGAATTACATGTTTTAATGGGTGAATTTTATAGTATGCAAAGTTACCCAAATAAAAAATTTTAAAAAGCACCCTAAGACTTTTTAACTCTCAAGAGTGTCCACAATGAGACTCTGGCAATTGATCAATTACAGTTTAGTGTTTCAAGCACATTACTGGGTACAAAAGAGATTTCTGTCTCTCCATTCTGGGGGACAGTGGTGCTGTGTATGGCCAAGCTAAAGAGATGATCAACGTATAATTTCATTGGGAATAAGGCAAGGGTGTGGTTCTTCACCAGTCCTATGAAGGATCACACTAAGGAGTCTCAGCCAGTACAACAGACAAAAAAGAACATTATAAAATAGAAATGTACTGACAGGTTCAAGGAAAAGGAATTTGAAATAGAGCAATATCTTACATTCATTTACAGGGAACAAAATAATGTAAAATTCCTAATTTTCTCTACATTCAGCACCCTATTTATAAAAGTCAAAATGACAAGCAAGTGGTATGTACTGTCTTGTGCTTCCCAAATTAATCCTGGAAAACAAGTGAAGAGAAAGAGAAAAACCTAACAGACACATAAGCAACTCAATGTAAACATCAAAACATGAGGAACAGCCA